AGCCAAGATCCATATTTCACTAAAATCCAAGTGAGCTTTGGCTCATCGCCTGAATTTTAGTTATTTAGGTAAGCAACACTTTGCTAATTATATCCAATATAATTCTTGGTTGTCAGATGACATCTTATGTCTTATCCAACCTATGTCTCTAAGCCCAAAACCGTTTTGATAGCCTAGTCAAGTAAACCAATCTTGTTTCTATGGTAACCGTTACCATCCACCTCACTCATGTAACTGCAGACACCTTGCTTTGGCAAGCCCATCTTACAATGAAACGAGCCTTGATGGTTGATAAGATTGGGTAGACATCAAAAGTACTTGAAATTAATTGAGGAACAAATTTTAATTCAAATTATAAAATATAAATATAAATGATACATATCTTATATGTATTTTAATTGAACTATAAATAATTAACTAATTTAATCTAATTAAATTATTAATTATATACTTATAATTAATTTTGATATACTAAATCTTAATCAAATTAGGATTTAAAATAAAATTTAAAATAAACTTTCTTAAAGTCTAAAACTCAAGAAGAACACACGGTTCTTGTTAGAAACCAAAGGATTGGTTCAGCATAAACCAAAATGTATAGTTTCGATACGAGATTTAGAAAAATACGATTATTAATCGAAATCAAACTCATACTAAATCTAGTTGACTTCTCAAAAGATTTATGCAATATTAAGTATATCAAACTTCCAATTATTTACGAACACATACATGCACATATCAACGATTTGATATATATACTTTTATCAATTCATATACAAAAAGTAAACTTTACTATAATACATGTATTAAATGTAAATAATATTCGCACTAGCTAAAAGCACGGAACATTCAAGTTTGGAAGCAAAAACATGTGGTGTAAATTATTAATCGATTACATTTAATCTATTATAATAATTCATACAATCACATCAATGATACTATTATGAACACAAACATATCGACTTAACAAGTTGCAAAAACCGTAACCTAATATATCTATATATATAAAAGCGTCTGTTCTAGTTGTTTTGAAACATTAAATATGAATCAACGAATGTATCAAATACATACACAAACTATATTCATCTAAATTCAATTTCAATATTATGCAAGCTTGCTCTGATACCACTGTAGGAAATCATACCGGTTTATAACGCTTTATAAAACAACCTATGAATTCTATTTGCCTAGAATCTCATGCAAATACTGAAATAATCTAGATCTTTAGGTTCTTTGAATATACCTGGTTATTCTGCAGCGGAAAGATGAATGAACCAAGTCGAGATTTCAAGCACTCCAAACGTCGTGCCTCTACCGGTATCCACACGCACACAAACTGAATCAATACGGGATGCTAGTGCCGTCGAGATAAAATCTCAGAAAAAGAACTTCACAAACTCTTTTGTCTTTTTAGGGTTTTGTATTATACGGCCACGTTTTTTCTTGTGTCAACACAAGTCACGTTAGTTCCATATATATATTAATATGAATGTAATCTAATTCTAATCTCATTAGAATAGAGCCCATTTACATTAATCACTTAGCCCACATGCAACCATTGCACATTACGTGCATATGTTAATTATATAATATTACATTTATATTATATCATATATATAACATAAATTAATATATAAAACCCCAAAATATTTATGATCCAATTTGTTTAGGTGTGTGACCCTGTAGGATCATATAATATTAGCAATGAATTCTCAATTCATAGATTATAAGCGGTTTCTAGCAAAACATTATAACCACCCAATATTATATGATTGTCGAACCTCGACGTTACGACTTTCACAAGAGTAAATACAAATGATTTTAGAACATTCCCAACACCATCACTATACAGAAGAGAGATGAGCAAAGAGCTACTCATTTTTGTGGTTTATGTAGATGATCTACTTGTTACTGGATCATCTCTGAAACTAATTCACGAATTCAAAAGTGAGATGGCAGCTAAATTTGAAATGAGTGATCTTGGAAGGTTGACTTATTATTTGGGAATATAAGTAGTTCAGTATGGTGGTGGTATCATACTGAAACAAGATCGTTATGCACGAAGGATACTTGAAGATACTGGTATGAGCGCCTGCAATCCTACACACATACCTATGGAGATGAATGCAAAGTTTTCACGAGCCCCTGAAGAAAACAGTATCAATGAACAAGAGTACCGTCGAAGCATTGGATGCCTTAGATATTTACTTCACACTCGTCCTGATCTATCATTCTCAGTTGGTGTGCTAAGTAGATATATGCAAGAGCCTAAGGACTCACATGGAGCAGCCTTGAAACAAGTACTGCGATACTTAAGGGAAACTTGTTNAAGTTTTCACGAGCCCCTGAAGAAAACAGTATCAATGAACAAGAGTACCGTCGAAGCATTGGATGCCTTAGATATTTACTTCACACTCGTCCTGATCTATCATTCTCAGTTGGTGTGCTAAGTAGATATATGCAAGAGCCTAAGGACTCACATGGAGCAGCCTTGAAACAAGTACTGCGATACTTAAGGGAAACTTGTTATCTTGGTCTTCGGTACACTCGAAACAGAGGTATGAGATTAATGGGTTTTAGTGACAGTTCTCATAATGTTGACGAAGATGATGGGAAAAGCACAACAGGCCACATCTTTTACCTTGGAGACAGCCCTATTACATGGTGTTCTACTAAGCAAGAAGTAGTGGCACTGTCATCTTGTGAGGCTGAATTCATGGCAGCCACTGAGGCTGCAAAACAAGCCATTTGGTTACAAGATACCTTGAGTGAAACTATTGGTGAAGACTGCATGCGTGTGACTATCAAAGTGGATAACAAATCGGCCATTGCACTTACTAAGAATCCGGTGTTTCATGGCCGTAGTAAGCACATACACAGAAGGTTCCATTTCCTTAGAGAGTGTGCTTAAAAGGAACAAATTGAAGTAGAGCATGTACCCGGGACTGAGCAGCGTGCAGATATTTTGACAAAGTCACTTGGTAGGATCAAGTTCAAGGAGATGAGAAACATGATTGGTGTTGAAGATGTGAGTGAAGATGGGCTCAAGCTTAAGGGGGAGATTGTTGGATAAGCTTGGAGAATAACTTGTGAAACAAGGAATCCTAGTTTAGGGGAATTTATGATATGCTTTGAGTTTATCCTGTTATGATTAGGATTTGTGTTGATCTTTATAAAAGGCAATGTCTTGTGTCGACATATGCTTATGAGTTTTGTGAGTGGCTTTGTGATTTGGAGAGTCTTAGTTTTTGAGAGAATTTTCTAAGACATTGATTTGATTAATAAGAGTTTGAAGTTTGTGTTTCTTTCTTGATCAACTAGTTCTATAATCTCCGCGTAAGCCAGCTTTAATCACCTGGAAATAGCTCAATCACCATCATCTCCAGCACTTCAACGAAAGCTACTTAACCCATGTGCTCGTTTACCATGTCTGGAGGCAATGTTCTCCATAACAACATTCTCCTCTCTCCTGTGCATATCTTCAGACTTATTATATACAAGGGATGTGAGAAATACGATTTACTCCAATGCGCCACAAACGCTCACTCAAGAATCTTATGGTGCTCTGGATAAGATGACTCAGATTTTCCCTTTGATTTTCAACTACTACCTTTCTTGTTTTTTTTTTTTTTTTTTTAAACACACTACCTTTCTTTTTTATAATCTAATTTTTGCAAATTTACAAAAAAAAAAAAAAAAGAATAAAGCCTTTCATCAAAAAAAAGAAGAGCAACCCTCTTCAATGACTCTTATTATTGCATGGCAGATGCACCTTGTAGAATAACTAAGGAGTCCAGATGGTCCTTATTCAGCAAAGGCATTCATGCGACTGTACATCCATGAATGCCTTTGCTGAATACAATTATCATCCAAGGAAACTCTGCAATTGCACCAACGGAAACAACTGTACATGCAGGAGCTTTAGCTATATTCATGCGACTGTTCAGCAAATGCGAAGGCTTTCTTATTAGAGAATTGTATTCCTNATGGTCCTTATTCAGCAAAGGCATTCATGCGACTGTACATCCATGAATGCCTTTGCTGAATACAATTATCATCCAAGGAAACTCTGCAATTGCACCAACGGAAACAACTGTACATGCAGGAGCTTTAGCTATATTCATGCGACTGTTCAGCAAATGCGAAGGCTTTCTTATTAGAGAATTGTATTCCTAAATGACAGCCAACGTACAACCAGCATTCACTTCCACGAGCAAAACTTTTAAAGCATGTTTAGAATCAACCATATGCGTGGGGGATATTTTAGCATTATCTAGGAATCATGGATACTCTTTTCTTTATGTTCCTAGAAAGTTTGTAGCTCATGATGACCAACTGGCCAAGAAAAGCTAGACAAACAAATCGAAATTACGTAATAATCTGGCCTCCTAGTTGAAATGATATAAACTTGTTTTGACAATAACGAAGTAAAGCCGAAAATGAAATTAAATATGATCATTCAACATTCTTTTATGAGTGAGTTTATTATTTGTGTTCAGCTACACCAAACGAACAAAGCAAATGGTAAAACTTGTACAAGTCTCGTTACATAGCTAGACTCGGACTATTATCGTCTCACCACCATCTATAATTAGGCAGCAGATAGCTCCTCTCTCGGCCTAATAATATCAATTAAAAACAACCAATATAATATTCATCAATTTGAAAACCACATGTATATATATATATATAGGTGGAGCAAGAACCGTCTAAAACCAGCACATAAAAGAGAAAAACACATCTAGATAGCACCACACAGCGAAGTAAAATAAAATACATTTTTATAAATAGATATTTCATATACCTGACTTTCTTGGCATCTTCTTTCTCAGCCGGTTCAATGGAGTGAACTGTCAAAACAATCCAAATAAGAAGAGAACAAGTAGAAAAGAATGATGCAAAACGCAAACCATTTATGACACTGCTGCAGACCTATGATTGATCCAAAAGCTGAATTAAGAGTACCTTTTTTCTCAGGTTTCAGTTCACACGAATGGTACTTGTTTGAGGTATAACAGAAATAGCAGACCATAGCTTGGAACTCTTTTGGCTGATCATCTGAAGGCTCCTTAGCTCTAAAGGTAATGTAAAACATATCGGCAGCAGTACCGGTCGGGTGGGTATTGGCTTTGATAACCTCAACAAATTCAAAACCTTTACCCTGTGAAACAAAAAGCGTTTTAAGAGAAAAAAAAAAAAAAAAAATCATAGCAAAATGTAAAAAAAAGAAGAATAAGACAAAAACACATTCAGACCGTTGTTTTATTGTATCGGTCAAGTGATTGCCGAGAGAGCCTCTCTATTACTCCTATGGTGGTGTCTGTATCCTTGAAATAGTAGTTTTCATCGAAATCAACTGGTACGTAATTAAAAACGCAGCGGAACTCCTCAAAGTTGATGTCAAAACCCTAATTACAAAATTTACAATATTAGATTCTTTAGACAAAGGAAAGGTCCTTACTTAGATGAAAATCAAATAAACCTTGCTACTCTCGACTTGTTCTTTAAAGCGGCGTTTCTCTTCTTCCGGCGTGAGAAACGGTCCTTGATCCTCACGTCGTCTTATGCACGGAAGATAGTCACACTTTTCCACAGGCTCAGAACCAGGCTCGTAGCGCATAAATACAGGTGCACCCCACTCATTAGTCCAATCTGAGACCGGAGACTCGAAATAAGGAACTTGATTGGTTACTCTTTAGATCCTTAAGGTTAGACTTGGTTACGTACCTGGCGCGCCCGGTTCCGCCATTGCTTCCCTTGGATTCTTGCGCTTATGAACGAGATAAAACCTAACCCTTTATTTTAATACACCTTCTCGATTATCTATTTTATTGTTCTGCAGTCCTTATAAGTTTTGTTTTATTCAGTTTTGGTCAATAGTCAGTAAAGATATTTTTTTTTGTCAACAGTCAGCAAAGATTTAATATCTGTGATTCTTATGTATAGAATTACTAGATATGATTTTAAATGTTAGTCTATCTATCTATCTTTTATACCAATAAAGTAAGTACTTTTTTTTCAATTTTTGTAGTGACATTTGCGGTATTTATTGGCAAATGATATGTTCACTACAAGAAAACTCGTCTATTACTAGGACGAGTTTTCCTCGTTATTTTCTAATAAATGACATTTTACTAGGAACTTACGAGGAAACACGTTTCGTCNAAATGTTAGTCTATCTATCTATCTTTTATACCAATAAAGTAAGTACTTTTTTTTCAATTTTTGTAGTGACATTTGCGGTATTTATTGGCAAATGATATGTTCACTACAAGAAAACTCGTCTATTACTAGGACGAGTTTTCCTCGTTATTTTCTAATAAATGACATTTTACTAGGAACTTACGAGGAAACACGTTTCGTCGAAACACGTTCATCGTAAAGCATTTTTCCTCGTAAGATCGTAGCTAATTTACGAGGAAATTTTTCCTCGTAAACGCGTGGTTACCTTTTCCTCGTAAGCTCATCGTAAAGTTTCCTCGTAATGTCATAGTAAATGGTTTCCTCGTAAGCTCGTAGTAATACCTTACAAGGAACTTACTAGAATAATTTACGAGGACATTATTTCGAAACATTTACGAGGATTTTACTTCGAAAGATTTTTTTCCCTATTCAAAAAAAATTATTTATATATATAAACATTATATTTTTAAAAAATAAAAAAAAAATCAAATTATAAATAAAAAATAAAAAACAAAATATTTTATAAATAACTAAATAATATACAATTAAGTTTTAAAATTCATAATATATATACAATTAAAAATAAATAAAAAACTACGGATGGTTGTCGTGAAATTGCCGAACGAAATCGTCATGGCTCGCCAAATCCTCCTCCTCTCTGAAGTTGGTTGCCGGCTGTGACTGTGATGGTGGAGGCTGTTGGGTTGGAAGCCCTCCGCGTTCCCGTCTCTGACGCAACATCTCCTCCAATTGCGGGTTTCCAACCACCAAAATGTCGAGGACATCGGTGAGAGAAGTCACATGCTCGGTGAGTGAACTCACATGAGACTGCGTTGCCTACAACTCCGAGCGCAGATGAGCATTGACATCGTGATGTTCTTGAGCATAAGACGATGTCGCTGCGGGGACATCGTTAACCGAGCCAATCCCAACGATACGCCCCTTTTTCCTAGGGGTGACCTGTAAATAAAAATATTAATAACGTTAAGAAAAAAAATAAATAAATAATAAAAATTAATAATAAACAAATTATTTACCTCCTCGTAAATCTTATCCACTTCAAGAGTGGATAATATGACTGGAGTCCCAATCTGCTGAGTCAGCTGGGTCTGGCGTTCGTCAACTCGGGCAACAACCTCGTTGTAGATCCGCTCGGAAGCATGATCTACAAACTGTCCAGCCTTGTTCCTGTGGGTCCTCTCGTAAAGATCTTTCAGAGATGGAAGACCTCTTGTCTCTGTAGCCTAAAATTAAATATTAATTTGGAATATTCAAATAAAATTTAAATTAAATAGATATTAAAAATCATCTTACCATGTCTAGACGAACTCCCCCGTGAGGTTTTCGACCCGTGGTGTGAAGCATCTTTGTGTTGCCATGCTCGTCTTTGGTCATGCGGTTCCCGGAGATTGTGTGGGAGGTTCTGACCGAGTCCGGCAACCCCCAATAGCTGATGAGACCATCCCACACCGTGGTTGTGAGGCAATCGGGTTTCCCGTCCTCGTAACCATCCACCTGATTTAAAATAATTAGAATTAAAGTATATATAATATTTTAATTATATATATTATAATTTATAAATCCATACCTGATAGTCGCACTTCCAGTTGTAGACCATGTCGAGCAATCGTGCTCTTGCCTTGCCCTCAAACTCTGTCTTCACCCGCTGGTGAATCCCAATAGGCCAACNGTTTCCCGTCCTCGTAACCATCCACCTGATTTAAAATAATTAGAATTAAAGTATATATAATATTTTAATTATATATATTATAATTTATAAATCCATACCTGATAGTCGCACTTCCAGTTGTAGACCATGTCGAGCAATCGTGCTCTTGCCTTGCCCTCAAACTCTGTCTTCACCCGCTGGTGAATCCCAATAGGCCAACAATAGTTTTGTTGTAACCAGAAAAAAGACATATTAGTTCAATAATATTAATAATTTTAAATAATTAAAAATAAAGTAAGTTGATTAATTAAACTTACAGCGAACGATTTGAACCACGTCTTTTTTGTGTGGCTCGCCGTCTTCTTCCAGTTTAGAGCTGCATCGGGAAAGTAACCCTTGATACAGTCTGTGACGCTAGTTGCGACACAATTGTCAAAACCAAACCTGGAAAGACACAAAATAAATCATTAATTATATAATTTGTAAATATTTTGTTAATTAAGAAATAAATTAAAAACACTTTTTAAAAATTAAAACATACCATAATACGTTTTGACCGTCCCGTCGGATAGGATCTAACTCTGGCAGCCCTTCTCTACCTGGAAGGGCCAAAATATCCTCCACCGTGTACACCGCAAAGGGTGCGTTCGGCAGCACCTGCAAATCGGGAGGAGGAGGAGGTGGAGGTGGAGGTGGTTGCTCAAACCGGGACGTCGTAGAAGCTCTCTGAGTCTCGGGAACAGCGTCAGGATCCAGAATCGAAGATGAACCGGGAGCTGATGAAGATGACTGACGCCCAAAAATATCACCGTAGTGACTCCCCTCAAGAGGCCTCTTACTAGCCTTAGCAGCAATCTTGCTCTATCTAACCATCTGAAATTAAAAAAAAAAAAACTAAACATTAATTCCCGTATAATTTAAAAAAATAGTTTAAAAAAGTAGGCTAACCTAATCTAAATTACCTAAACTAACCACCTAATCAAAATTCCCTAAACTAACCACCTAATCTAAATTTCCTAATCTAATCACATAACTACGAATTAGAGAGAACCTTTAGAGGATTCAGAGAGAAGCTTACTACAAAATGAGAAATCGGATTGCTCGAGTTTATATATGGAATTTTTTTTCCTCTTAAGACCCCAGTAACGTTACTAGGCCTTTATGAGGAAATAGCTATGCCCGTGTTTTTATTTCCTCGTAAGGTCCTAGTAATAAAGTTACTAGGACTTTACGAGGAAAATGCTTTACGAGGAAATAACTATCCCCGCATTTTTTTCCTCGTAAAGTCCTAGTAACCTAATTACTAGGACCTTACGAGGAAACAGCTATGCCCGCGTTTTCTTTTACTAAGGCTTTACGAGGAAAGGGTTTGTAAATCCCTAAACTCGAAACCCCAAACCACAACTTCCTTAACTTGTAACCTCTTCTACAACAAACTCCTAACCTCTTCTACACATAAATCCCAAACCCCAAATGCAATTGATTTTGTGATTAAAAAAACTTAAAACATATATAATCCAAATTCATTTTTGTGATTAAACAAACATATAAACATACATAATTCATTCGGATACATTCTCGTAATCTGTTGAAACATCATCATTTTCTAAAAACTCTTCGTCTACACCTTCGTCCGTTGAGTGATCAGGAACATCTTCGTATTCACGATTATGCGGATCAGTGAGTAGGATGTCATCAATTTCTGCTTCAGCTTCCTCGATCTCATTGGTGTTTTCTTCTTGTAATGGTGGTTCTTCTCCAGCGATTATTCGTCCTCAAGGTGTAACTTTGATAACAGCTAACCAGTTTATTCCCGAGATAGTAATCCGAGGGTATGGAATGAAGAAAACGTGATCTGCTTGGGAAGCTAATATGAAAGGCTCGAACTTGTTGTACCTACAAAAATAAAGATCAATATAATAATTAATTAATACTAGAAACCTGGATATTAAAAAAAAAAGAATTTGTTGTACCTTCGTCCACCGTTGACATCAACTACACTGTTCTTGTTAATCCGAACACCTCTGTTGACGACGGGGTCATACCACTCACACTTGAAGATAACGCATTTCAAACTCATACCTGGGAATTGAACTTCATAAATCTCCTACAAGATCCCGTAGAAATCTGTTTCGCCTTTCACACATATTCCATAATTACTTATCGCCCGGTGTCTACCATAGTCATAGGTATGAAAAGTATAGCCTCGGGTGAAATACATCGATGATGTAGTGACCTTTGCAACTGGATCTTGAAGTAATTCGCGAAACCATGCGGGATACTCAGGATCGTCATAATCAACCTGCAACAAAAAGTAGACTTACTTTCTGGTAATGTATGCAAACAATTTAAGTAGTAAATAAATACATGTTTCTTCAACCACTTGATAAAGTGTTGATATTTCCTTTTGTCTAACTCAGTTGTCGATATACCAGGTATTGCTTCCTCGACTTGAGTCATAAATTGGCTGTAAAATCATATATGTTATGTTATATATTTAATATTGAATATATATATATATATATATAAGTGTGTATGTTTATATATTTACCTTTCAAAATAACCAATCAATGGATGCTCGCAATAAAGAAGAATATAAAGGTAAAAGTGTGCACTATGGAAGTCTTCATCACTCGACCACCAAACCTCTTTCAATTTCCCACCCAATCGCCCAATTTGACAAAAGATGTCTGGAACATCGTCTTCCATATATGTCGGCACGACACCACCATCATCATATCTTCTTGGAGCTCGTTTCCTTGTACATACTTTCGGTGCAAAGTAGTACGATGTGAAATGTGATGTTTCTTCCGTCAAACTTCCCGCAACAATAGAACCTTCAACTCTTCCGTCAAACTTCCCGCAACAATAGAACCTTCAACTCTTGTTAGGTTTTTGGCTTTTCCTTTTCAAAGTTTTCATGGCCCTTTCATACTG